ATTTTCTTTTTTCCTGGAATTAGTAGGTTTTCTCCCAGATTGAAACCACCTTCTGCCGGTGAACTTAGTTCGTCTTCTGGCCACAAAATAAAAATGATTTTGCAAAATTTCGCTATTTTTCTCCGAAATTTTTTCAGTTTCAAAAAAAAGGTGGCCCCCTAATTTGAATCAGCCTGTATAACATTTTTATTCGATTTTTACTGAGTACCAGAAAAATAGAGACAGGCGCGTAACTAGCAAATGGTTATCATCTAACCCCTTCTTAAGTACAAGAATAACCAAAGCGTTTTGACTTGCCTTATTAGGTTTCAATTTGCATGATCGGTAAATTTGCTAGATTATTTTCAACTAATATATAGGATTAAAATAAAATTAAAACCATAATAAGATAATGATGCATGTTATATACCTAATATTGCAATTTTTGTGTGCATTGATTATTATCTGTTTGTTTAATAACAGACGGTTTTTCAAGGAGCCGGTTAGAAAATTTAACATAGAAGAAATGCAAATTGTAGAGCTTTGCCAACGCCCCTTAATTTGGCTACGAACTGTGGCAAAATGGACTTTTCCAACATTTTTTTTATGTTTAGGACATTTGAACATTATCATTTATTCGTCATTTTTAGCATACTGTCAAGTGTCTTTCTTGATAATAGCAGGAAATTCTACTACATATTTTATTAATGCTACTCTGCTTGGGGATTAGCATTATTAAAAACTTGAGGGAAGGGCTTATGGGACGCAAAGGGTAAGAATATTGAGGTTTGTTCCACCGTTCCTCTGCGAAACGGTTTTGGATATTTTTTTATTTATTCCCCACGTGCGACTTTTAAAATTGATAGAAACACTGTATTATGACAATGATTACAGATAATATGTAGGAAATAATTTATCGATTCGGATACCTTAATAATTATGAAATTTAGTGGGTGCAAAATATAGATTGTAAAATTTCTTGGACAGATACTGCAATTAATTGCATTGCTGCGTTGATGATAAAAGAAATCAAGTTGTAAATCAGCATATGCATGATGAAAGCGCATTTTTGGTAATGCGGATCAGTATTTCATTAACCAAGTTTAAAATTATCGATCTCACGAGTAATCTATCTCAAAAGAGCCTATAGAGCTTGTAACGGCACTTTTAATATTTCTCGAAATTTACTTGATTGGTTTAGATTTTAGGAGTAACTTTTATAGTTTGGACAGCTGAGATTCGAAATTATGTTAAGTTTTAGGATACAAGTTAGAAAGGGTGGTAAGATTTAAAACAGGGGTGTGTATACGAAAATAAAAATATCGGATTTCAGTGGGGTTTGCTCGTTATGCTCATTAGCAAAATACAAAGTTTCTCACCGACCGTGTTAACCAAAGAGTCCGTGTTAATTTTTTTGTTTATATACAATCGAGACCAATTTAAATTTTACAACATCCTTCTGAGCAGGTCACCCAGATGGACGTTTGTGTGCCCTTATGATACAAATACCGCCAGTCAGGAAACGGTCAAGGTAAAACCGCCGACATTCAAACAGTGATTTGGGTTTCGTGTTGCGACCAGTGGGCATCTAATTAGCAATATTTGAACGCGAATTCCTCTGGACATCTCCATCTTTTCCCTGAAGTGACACTTGATCTGCACCTTTAGCCTACGATCGGATAGGAGGAGTAGTACTTATCAAGGTCTGTACAGTTTGTTTTTTTAGTGTTGTAAATCTTTAGGTCGATTTTGTAAAGCAATAAGTAGTAGTTAGGAACCTATAATAAGTTGTTGGATTACAATTAGGCAACAGTTAGGGTTAGTTATTTAGCGCACGTATGTATGTATATTTGTATTGTGCTATTCGGTTGTAAAAGATCGTATAAGTGGAAAATAAGATGCAGATATGTAAAGTGTTGTCTTCCAGTTTTTAATATAGGTACACCCTCTGTAGAATCGAGGAATGTGCGTTATTTTTTTGTGTCAAATCACTGAGCCATCATTTCGAGATTAGAAAGGGCGGTAGCCACACGAAAGCTAATTTTCACTAGTCGCGGTACTTGGGTTTGCACTAGACTGACGTTGCGAGATTACAGGGCGGTAAAAAAAACGTAAATTCAATTAGAAAAGTTACAAGCCTGCACTCTACACTGCATCAGAAAGCTTTTAGTGAAAATTTGAAGTCTCTAGCTATTGTAATTGCTGAGATCTCAGCCGGACAGCCAGCCAGCCAGCCAGCCATAACGAATATAATAGTGTATTTTTTTCCAAAAATGCGCTAAAAAACATACCTAAGCGAAATATGGAGTTAGAAAAAAGCAAAGTTTAACTTTTCAGTCAAAACCTTATACATCCGCTACGTTAATAGACAACATATAATATTTTATATGCAGTCAATCCTGCATCCTGCACCTACTGAAGATCCCAAAATAGTGCCAAAATACTATTATTATGGGCTTTGGCACGAGTAGGTAAACTGTGTTTTTACAATAAACATCGTTGAATTGCAACTGGTGAAAAAATAAACCTAAACACAGATCCAATAGTATATTAAGTATGGAGAACGGTAAGGGATTTTTACCGTTCGAAGACAATTGTTTGGAGGAGGAGCGAAGCGACGACTCCAATTATTGTCTGAGAACGGTAACCCTTAACGTTCGACGTGCTTATAACATTTTTTGCGCGATCGAAATTAAAATTATGCAACCAATATAAATATGCACTAAGAAATTAACGAGCAGAATAAATCGAAATGATCGAAGTGGTATGGTGTACATCACTAGGCAACCAGTTTAAATGTCAAAATTGAAATTAATAATTTCATAAAAATGTGCATGTGTCTGATGTAGTTTACTAGCTTTGCACTTCCTTTATGACTTTATGAGCGTCTTGCTATAGGAAACAACAGCACAAATTGTACGTTTAATTTACCTAACAATAATTAAAGATTAAATGTAATGTAAGACTGTTGATTTTTAAAAAGGCGTCGGTAAGTATTTTTGCTGTTCTGTTTTTAGATCGGTAAGTAATTTTGGCGTCGTCGTAATCATAGCAACTGGTAAATTCTACGTACTGTCATGGAAACACCCATGGTAAATAGTCAGAAATGACCGATCGCGCAAAAAACATATTACCCACCAAGAATTGGATTATGGGGAATCGGGCAGAAATAAGAATTGAGTATTATCAAAAGTTTTAAATCAAGATAATTTTTGTTTTCCAGGGTACCTATGGGTATCTAATGTAGAGCAAAAGGTGATTTTTTAATTGGAGCTCGTATAATGTTGTGGTTAGATTTCTTTAAAAATGCATTTTGGGGCCAAATGATCCCATACGTGGCGGATAAAATGATTCTGGGGGATCGTTTTACCCCACATAACATTTCACATTTAATAAGCGCGATCCCATCAGGGCCCCCCGACCTTAAGTACTTAATTTCTGATTGACAAAATATGTACATACAATGGAGTAGTATTTGTGTATATAGCGAGGTATATAGTGAACATATACAGAGCCCCTAGCTTGGGCAGACGGCTATTTCTTAGGTGCTACTGGTACCTACGTAAAAATTGTACCTACTCATCTTACAGTGTACGCATGAGTGCTGATTCTTGCGTATGATATAGAGAGTATAGTAAACAATTAGTAGGTAATTAATACTGCCAGATACTTTCTGTCGGCAGTATCTATTGCCAGGCACAATGGTCTTCTGCTCTTACTCACGGTGACACTTTAAATAAGCTTAGTGGATGTTTGGCCCGGTCTGGCAGCTTACAAAATATATTAAAATAGCCCTCTAAATATCATACCTACATAAAATTCAAGCCTCAAACTGTAGGTAAGTAAAGTGAGTACAATTTTCACATTGGTATCTATAGCATACGGTACCTGAGAATTGGGCGTCGGCCCAAGCTAGGGGGTTGTATACGTTCACTGTACACACTAATATGTCCATCAGAAAATAGGTAAGGTTTAGGAGCCCTAGGATCTTGGAGTATAATAACTATATGTTTATTGGTGCAATTTTTGCTTTAATAGGTGTTTACAAAATGCTTCGTAAATATGTCACAAAAACAAACCTCCATACTTGGAATGCTGAGGGTAGGCAAAATAGGTACATTACAAGAGGTTGGAAATGGTACCTATATGACATATGTCTTTGAAGACAAGTATAAACCTTTGTGCCCATAATATCTTTAAAACCTCGTGAAAGGGGAACAAACACCATTGCCACAGGGCACAGATAATTTATAAGTACTAGGAGGTAAAGTGGCGGGTGTGTTTTCAGCTGAATAGGTCATTTAGGTATAGAGGTACCTATGGTTGAATTTGAAACCAGAATGTACGGAATTACCTACTGCGTGGAATTTTGTTTTTTTTTCCCAGGGGCGAAATGAATCATCTTCTTGCGCGTCTTCGAGGGGTTAGTCGACTTTGGGCGCCCAAAAGATTCTTAGAGCTCGAATCGCGATATCTCTTTCTCGTGTCGCCAATAGAAGCTCGAACTATGTGCCCCAAAACTTGAGTATTTTGTGGAGGGATTTTAGCGAAATTCACCAAAACGCGAATTGGCGGTGCCGATGTCCCTATCGGGAATCTACACTGGAATTTCTGAATTACCGCGCTTAAAATTTGAAAAAAGGCGAGTGCGCATTCGACTACTAGTAAGTAAGTTCTTGCTCCGTGACGATTCATCCGCGTCACCTCGCTTTTTCTTCTTCTTTCCTTCACCGCGCCCCTACCGCTTCACCAGGCGAATAATTTATAGAAATTAAGGCAAATCTTGGGGTGCAAATGTTTTTCGCTTCAGAGTAGCTAGTGTTGAAATTTCTGAAAGGCAGGTTTCCCATACTGTGTAACCTTTGTTGCGATTAAAATCTACACACAAGTCTACACCATTGGTCTGAAATTTTGCAAGGGGTGAGCCCTAAGTTCATCCGTTACTAGCTCCCTTTGCTGGACTACACCCTAGTAATGACAGGGCAACATAATTATTTTTACTGATGAATTAAAACAATGAACAAAAATCACACATTTCTTTATTGTACTTTGCAATTACATATACTCCATCTACTGTATAAAAATCAACTCCAAGTAACTTGCCAATAGCTATTTTGTATTAAAAAATAATATAAAAAACAATTGCAAACACAATTTATTTATCCAGTCTACATATAGGAGTAGTATGTATCATTTCCAAGTCAACCTTCGGCCCGACCAAATCCCTGATGTTATTGTACCCATATTTAATCATGGTCGGCCTTTCCAAAGACAGGCCCCAAGCAATGACACTAACATCCTCGGGCAAACCCATGGGAAGTAACATCTCAGGGCGAAACACACCTGAATTTCCTATTTCAATCCACTTCCCCAAACCTTTATGGAAACAGAATATCTCCATACTAGGCTCAGTATATGGGTTGTAAGCAGGCTTGAATTCCAACTCTGTTATGCCTAATTTTCTAAAAAATTCGCTTAAAACAGCTATCAAATTGCCTAGGGTTAAATTATAGTCTGCAATGACACCTTCAACTTGGTGAAATTCAGCTAAATGTGTGGCATCTAGCGTTTCATTACGATAGACACGGTCTATACTGAAGAATTTGACAGGTTTAAATTGCTTTTGTTGAGCTATTTTGTACAGCATTCGAGCACTGACGGCTGTAGTGTGGGTACGAAGGAGGTTTTTGGAAGCTTCTTCAATTTTCCAGTCATATCCATAACCTTGAGATCCATAGCCACCCACACTGTGGACCTTTTTGACTCTGTTCAGGTAGTCCATAGGAAAATTGTCAGTGGATTTGGGGTCGGAAACAAAGAAGGTGTCGTGAGCATCACGTGCTGGGTGCTGCTGAGGTTGAAACAGGGCATCGAAATTCCAGAAAGAGCTCTCAACAAAGTTATTTGTGGGCATTTCGGTGAAACCCATTTCCAAAAAAATTTGCCGAAATTCCGAACGTACCTTTAAAAGTGGATGGAGATATCCACATTCTAAAGGTGCACCTAATGCATCCAAGTTATAATCTTTGAACTTTAAATCTTTCCAACTGCCTGTCGCTAACATTTCAGTTGTTAGATCAGTCTCGAGCTTTTTTAAAGAGAGGCTAAACTCTGGACCTTTTTGTAAAAGGAAACTTTTAACCACAACCTCCTGAAGTAACTTCCGCTTCTTATATTCCTGCTTTAAGGCGTCTGTTAATACTGAAAAATCACCATCAGCGATTGACCTCAAGTGATTCTGGACGGTGTCTACAATTTCGCTAACTTTCCTCTTTACCAATGGCTTAGGGCCACTTTTGTCTACCAGAATCCAGCCGGCTGACATTGCTTTACTAAACCCAACCTTTGCGTTGGGTATTTTCATAAGCTCGGATTGTTCAATCCCATTCTCAGGAACTGCATTATAAATCAATGCCTCGTGACTACCTGCAATGTGACAGTTATCCACAGGCGTTTAATGTAATTACAACACCAACCTTTAGCAGCAACAGCCAAGCCTTCCTCGGTCAATTCGTAATTCTTCTGACTTTGAGGTTCTGCAGATACTAACTCACCGTTCGCTTGTATACTTTTCAAAGCTCCAATGATTTTTTGATGGTCTTCGGTGAAAATGTTAGCCAGCTTCAGGGTGCTAGCCTGTGCATTTTCGGATAAGTGATTTAAGATTCGTTCAATGAGTTCACCCATATTGCAAGCTTTGTGACTAAATGAAACAGCGGCAGGTGGCAAATTTGTATTAGTGGTGTTCTTGTAGATGTGAGACGTTTGTTACGACATTAGCAATGTAAGTGATTTGTAATTAATGATATTTGCTAGCATATTTCATCATGCTAACCTAAAAGAAGGAAAAGAGAGGTTATGTAATTTTTACATGCGAATTGTGGCGACGTTGCCATATTGCATTTGCAATCATGGACGCGTTCACTTATACCATAATCATGTCATAATTTTTGTACCGCACTGGTCAACAATAATTTTTATTATTTAGTTTTTATTATTTATAATTAGAAGCCATGTGTCATCCCTTTATAATGAAAGTAATATACTGGGTTAAATGGAAGAGCAGAGGCAGTGGGTTTCACTACTGTCATCTGAACTTCGCCCAATTAGTTACACGATAAATATAATTTTTTTAATCTTATAAATTTTGTTGCAAGATGTGTAACTAATAAAATACATTATTATTTATTATTATTATTTATTTCTTGTCTAGCAATCGTTGCACATGGCATTGGAGGAAAAATGTACCAAAGGTGCGGGACACTTCCCAAGGGACCCGAATAGTCACGACAGTTTCCCATTCGAGTTTTCTTTCCAGTAATATTGCATCGATTAGGCTCAAGGAACAAAAAAAATCTCGAGAGATGTAAATGAATCGCGAGGATTGCTTGAAAAAGGCATAAGAAAGATTGAAAAAAGTGAGTACCAGATGTGAAAAAGACGTAAGATACGCGAAGAAGGCCCAAGAAGCATGAAAAAAGGTAAAAACGAATTATGGCCGTATGTACCGAAAAAGTTTAAGCAGAGCTTAGTTTAAGTGAAGCTTAATATCCATGGTAACGTATATTGGAACAATGGTTGCCATGGATTTTAAGGTAGGCTTAAGCTAAGCTCAAATTTTTTCGGTGCATACGGCCATTAATGTAAAAGAATGGCAAAAAGGCGAGAGGGAAACGCATATGAGGGGCGTGAAAGAAGGGCGGACAAGATGTGAAGGTGATCTCAAAAGAACGTCAATGAAGTAGATAGAAAACAAAACTGAAGAATGTTTGAAGGTTGCATGAGGTGCGTGAAGAAATGCTAGAGAAGTTTTTAGCAAATATCACGGGAATACCTTGTGTCCTGAGTCTTGCCCAAATGTCCGTCCCTAATGCACTGCACACTCCCGCGGGCTCCTCCGCTTTCTCATTCTTATCATCTCCTCACATCTGCTTGTAAATGTCTTCTCTAACCTTTTCATCCCGTATCCTCATTATCCTCTTCGCGCATTCCTGCCTTCCTTTGTTCTCTCACGCTCTCTCCTCGCCTTTTTCTGCACACTCCTGCCTACCTTTAACTCTTCTGCCCCCTTCTAACGTTTCATGTTAGTCTTTGTGCTTTCATATAGGTCCTCTTTTGCCATCTTTTTATCATTGCTGTCCAGGCAGCCCTCACTATTTCTATACTTCCTTCTCCAACCGTTCCACTCTCCCTCCCTACGCTTTTCCGTGCACTACAAACTTTTAATTGTTCTTTTGTCATTTCCTTCCCATTCTCGCCCTCTTCTGACCTCTCTCACCTGTCTGAGCTTGTCTTACTCTCGTCTGCCCCTTCCAGCCGTTTCACGCCTTCTGTGGTACTTTTCTGCATACTCCTACCGTCTTCCGCATACCCTTCCTATTGCTGACATTTCCTGTACTCTTTTGCCCTTTTTTAAATACTTTCCTCGCATCTCTTCATTTTCTTGCTCACATGTTCTTTCTCGCTTCTTTTTCATTTACACTTCCCTCTCAACCATGCACTCCTCTGCCTTGTATTACCCTCTCCTGCATCGGTCCTCTTTTGCTCTCTCTCTTACTCTCTGACGTCGCCTCACTTTCAACATTCTACCATTTTCGAGACCATTTAAAAAAAACTGCATTTTCGTTTCCATGCTTTTTAGGTTCTAGAACTTTCTAGTTTTCTTCTATGACGTTTTACAGCCCTTTAAGAGTTTTTATGTCTTGGTTTTTCTTAGAAAAGAGGAACTGATTCAGAAAGGGTTTGGGAGAGCTAAAATGGCTCTGAAGATGTAAACGGTTTTCATCGCTGCTATTTCTAGTGCCCATCAAGCCCTTCCTTTAGCCTAGAGACGATTTTTCAAAGATATGTTATCCTGGGAAGCTCTGAAAGATATCTTGAGAACCTCTGGGACGATATAAAGCAGAGTACCCACTGCATTAATCGTTCAAGGCCAGTTCTATAGATTTCTATTACCTTGAGAAAGCGTTCTAAGCATTATTTTTGTCTAAAAAGCAGTTGAAATAACTTCTAAAACCTTTGAAGTGTTTTCCCAAAGATTCTAGGCGGTTTTGATGTATATAAAAGCTTGAAGCGTAAATGAGACGTAAATATTATGTGAGGTATGACTGAAGAAGGCGTTAGGCAGATCTGAGTTGGTGAAAATGGCGGAGGCAGTTAAATACGTGTAAAATTAACAAGATGTAAAGAAGAGCCGTGAGATATGAAGCAGTTTTCACGGAAAAGAGATCTAAAGGAATCCTGAGATTTGTGTTCATCCGCTAGCTTCTTTTCATTAAACAGCATGCATTTGTTGTTACCAGCCCGCAATTATTTTTCGCCGGCCGGCGTTAAATTTTGGAGAATTTCCATAAAGAAGATATCCAACTAAAATCGGGGAAAGCAGTACAGATATCCCAGTATGTTAAACCGCTAAGCTAAGTACGCAAAGTCTTCCGGAAAACAGAGATACGGACATTGGACGCGAGTAGTTGAAAATTTCCATCGGACTGAAGGGCTGCGACTTACTTCAAATGCAGTAATTAAAGAGGTTGGCTGTTTTGATTAATGAGGGTGCGGCACGTTTTAGTTTGCTGCCAGATGTCCATGCGGCGTGTCCCACAGTCAGATTCTAAAAAATTAGAACTTGAAACATCTTTTTGACAGTGAAAAATGAATTTTTTTTTCGTAAATACCTTTTTAGGGGAAATTTTCCGACAAAAATTCTCATTGTTGGGTGGTTTTGTCCGTCTATTCCTCGTATAAATCGAGACCGGACAGAGACAGCGATGTGAAACCCTCGCTAATCGATTTCTACGAGTTCAAGGATGAGTCCTATTAAATATGAGCCAGATTAAAAGTCTGGTTACCGAACGTGAGCGAAGTGACAAAAAAATTCCACTACTGAAAACCGTATGCGATTCTTTGTATTTCATTTTCTTTGTGTTGGGTTGTTCTCAAGTTCCTTTCATATCCTTTTCAAGGTCTCTTCAACTTCCCTTCAAGCATCTCTCAATTTCCTTGTAAGCAGGTAGGTATATTCCTAAACAACCTAAACGTTACTGGTCATTTCAACTTTAGTGAAGTGAGTTTCGTACAAGTTCGGGACATCATAAAAAAATTAAAATGCAGTAACAGCAAAGATACTTACGGTATTAACCATACAATTGTAAAGTCCATATTAAATTCAATTGTAATTCCACTAACCAATTTATATAACCAATGTATACTTAGTAAGACTTTCCCCTCTTGTCTAAAGCTAGCAAAAGTCATTCCCGTGTTTAAAAAAGGCTGTCAATCGGATCTAAATAATTATCGACCAATATCCATAATACCTGTGTTTGGAAAAATATTGGAAAAGGCACTAGCTATGCAAATAGTTGATTATCTGGAGCAAAATAGTCTCTTAACCGACAGTCAGTTTGGATTTAGACGTAAATCATCAACTACTGGAGCGGTACTTAGTCTTATACAATTTATTTTGGAAGGCTTTGAAAGCGGACGCTATACCGGTGCTACGTTCTGTGACCTTAGTAAGGCATTTGACTGCGTGTCACACCCTATTCTTATAGAAAAATTGAATCATCTAAAATTTGGTAAGGCTGCTGTCAAGCTACTAAGCTCCTACTTGACAGAACGAAGTCAGTACGTGATGTATCAGTCTGTGGCCTCCCATGCGCTTCCAAATAGGTACGGAGTCCCACAAGGTTCAGTATTGGGACCCATACTATTTCTAATGTATGTCAACGACCTACCGAAAAGTGTTAAAGCCGCTCACTGGACACTCTTTGCTGATGATACCACCATAAGCTGTCAACACGAAACAGAAAATGAATTACTTAGAAGTATGGTGCAAGTACAAGAATCTGCCAACGACTGGTTCACAGCTAATAGTCTAAGTCTCAACGGCTCAAAAACTAAAACTCTAGTTTTTTCTCTAAAACAAAAATATAACTTGACCTGTGATCGTGATATTTTATTTTTGGGAGTGCATATCGACGACAAATTGACCTGGAGTAAACACACTACGTACGTGAAGGAAAAAATCTCGAAAGCGACATACCTTTTAAGTCTAAAATATATGCTGCTTATTTTGGCAAAATACATAGTGTACTTTCCTATAATACGATATGTTGGGGACATTCTGCCACCTTTAATGATGTATTTAGAATGCAGAGGCGGGTAGTGCGTGTAATTGCAGGATTAAAATATCGAGAAGATTGCAAAAGCGCATTTATCAACCTAAATATCCTCACATTACCGTCAATTTATATATATCAGTGCATACTCTATGTTCGTAACAACTTGAGTCTATATACAACAAATAAAAATAACCAGCTGCATTGCCATTCCACTAGACAAAAAAATAGCATAGTGATTCCTGCTTTAAGATTAAATAAAACAAGGACTGGTGTAAATCATATTGGTATTAAATTATACAACGCTCTGCCCCAACACATGAAAGAACTAGACTGCACAAATTCATTTAGTAAATGTTTAAAGAAGCACCTAATAAGCCAGGCATTTTACAATATAAACGACTTTCTACATTATAGGTTTAACTGTCTTTAAATGTGTAAGTTATAGTCTTTATATACTGTATATAGTAACCGACTTGCGTAAAACAATTATGTTATTAGCGCTAATAAATTATTATTATTATTATGTCGGTGTTTCTTGTGAGAACTCAGGTCTAGCCTGGTTAACTAATCGCACGGATTAAAATCAAGTAACGATTAGTGTCTGTGTCTGTGTCTGGTGAAGTTATGTAGGGTTCTAAAGAAAAATAAAAATAAAATAAATATTCACACACTCACATTGGAAATCTAGAGATAGTATGTAATTCATACTTACCAACATAGCTATTAATGGCCCCAATAGTCAACGCTATCAGGAAAGAAGAAAACAAAACAAAAATATCATTATAATCTGTTAAGTGTGCTAAATGTGGGTATTGTGTAATGAACGCGTGATGTAGTTTACCTCTGTATGCTGTCCTGTCCGTTTCCAAATTCGTGATCTCCAGATACGTACCGAAAATGAAGCGATTCATCCCTTCGTCCCATTACATACGTCTTTTGGAGGTTTCCTTTGCGCTGGTCCCATCCACAAGCGGTTGAGAAGCAGGCACAAAGGTTATTATAATTATTATTATTATTATTATTATTATGCTCAAATTACACTTACATGATTTACAATGCGTTCCACTTTTTTTACACTAGTTGTTTAATCTGGGCTCAACCAAGAAAAGAACATTATAGTTTAAAAAAAGAAATTGAAAATGTGCCATCTCCTCCGAATGCTTTCCTTTGTAACCAAGAAAATTCATATTGCCACAATTTTATTAATAAAACTCCAACACGTCCTTTAATGATATTCTGACATATTGCGGAAAAAATAACAAAAATAGGTTCTGAATGATTTATTTTATGTATGGGGGTAGAATTTATTAGGATATCTTGAGAATCAAACCAACGAATATGTATATAATCACAGAATTTATTAGACAAATACATATTATGTAGTATTGAAAATATAAAATCACAGGCAAATTTAAAATTTAAAAAGATTTCGTTACCTAAATAAGTGTTTATATTTCAAATAGAAATTCTGTATGTCATATAAAGATCCTAAAATATTAGCTTTCGTTCCGATACACATATTTTTTTGAGCTTGTTCTAAATTATTATCACATTCTATAGGATGGTATATGTGTATCAGTTGAGGATCTACGCTACGTATTGTTTTATAATTTGACTTTATAACCTTTTCAAAAAACGACACATCTTCAACGCCCCAACCGGCAATTGACATATTAAAACCTCCCAAATTTATAAAATCACACTTAAATATGCTAGTAATACCGAATCCGAATTGACGCCAGAAGCCTTTGCGATTGCTTAAGTTATAGTCCATACTTTGTTGTCGTGAATCCGAAGTCGATTGGTTCAGGAATTTTGGGCTGTACAAACTGTAAACTATTGGGAAATAGACTTGGTGGTGTTTAACTGTATTAAAACGTATCCTTTGCAAGCTTTTATGTGTGAACACTATATCCACGTCAATGAAAAATAGTAAGTCGTCATCTTTTTTCTCATCGACCCCGTACTGTAGCGCCTTTCCCCTTGAAAATGCTTCGGTGGTCACTCTGTACGAAATTTCACTGTTGGGATACTTTCGTTGAGTCGCACGAATTAATTCTAAGTTTTTCTCAAATTCTTCTACGTTATCTTCGTTTTTATAAAGCACTATCAACAGTCTTGTAGTTTCTTCATCGATAATACAAACATTTTCATAAATGTACATAAATCTCGTAAAAGTTTCAAATCTATCACGTAATGGTAAAATAAAATTTACATATCGATTATTGTCATTATCCAACTTATAATTAAATATTTTTGGCAGTGGCACTTTGCCGATTTTGGCTAAAACGTTGTGCACGAACATGCTCGGTCTGGTTGTATTTTCAGCATGGGGTGTTTCGTCGTTGTACGTTACTTCCCTGATGAACGTTCCTGAAAACAAGACCAAATCAGTAAATTTTGGGAGAAAAGCTCAGCTCACCCGTAAACGTCTGTTGTACGTAAACATGCCGCCTGACCGGTACGGTCATTTTATTTCCCGTGTACTTCTTATACAATAGCGACATGTCTAAAATTAAGTCTGCACCGTGAAGGGAATCCAACCGCCAGTAAACGTAGAGCAACTCCTTAAAGTCTATCACTCTTCCTCTCTGCTTCGAATTGGAGTTTGTTACTTCCATAATCTAAACATTGGCGTTATTGAATGCGAACACGCTCACACATACCTCTCGTACGATGTCAGTCAGTCCCTCCTTAATCGACGATCCGATTCTTCTCTTAGGGTTGAAATCCTTAAAAGAGTATAACGATTTCGATATCAACTCCCAATCCAAAACATCCTGGATGGCCTTGTACGGAAACCTAGTAAGGCTAACCGGTGCTCCTGTAAATCAAGCAAATCGAAACTTAAAAATTAAAATTCATAATTCGGGAGTAGGTACCTAGAAGCTCCGGATCTCCTAAAAAATTCAACGAGCCAGGCGGTTCCGGGTACAAAGGAAAATCTTCAATCAACTCGGCAGCCTGCAGTTGAGATGGTTCGATGTTGAAGTAAGCCATCGACGACGATATGTCTCTGTGTAGGGTAACCGATTCCTGCTGTTTCTCTTGAATGGTTTGACCCTGAAAGTAAAATTAGTAGAAGAGTTCATCCACTTCGTACAACATTTTTTGCGAGGCTGAGAAATGAGTATAATTTAGTTTTTACGTACTGAATGATCTTTGATCGAATATATCGACAGGTTTTCCAAACGTATAATTAACTGTTATATAAAAATGATAATAGCTACAATGCTTTTTAAAGACTTACATCGAAACATTTGATCAACGGCCTCCGTTATAATTATAGATTATGTAAAATGTAAGTAGGTACTTTAGTTGCTAAATTTATGTTTTGAAAACCTTCAGATGCGATGATGTATGACCGTGTTTTCGGTCTTCAAAACTAACGTATTCCATTCCACTCAAAAAAGTTTACTGTCGTTAAGAAACGTTGAGGGGAGTTTTAGATGTGCCTCAATTAAATTGAGAAAAATGTATCCATGCACATCGATACTTTAGAGACGTTGTACCTACTTTTTCTGAAAGTTAAATTACGCTATACGGTGCTGAATTAGATATTAATGTATGTTATTGTATTTAATGATGGTTTATTTATTTATTTTATTTATTTAGTCTTACGGGAGAGGCCCCAAAAAATTAAAGTTTTGTGTACAATTCACATATACAAAAGATAATTATGCTTAAATTACTGGAAAAAGGAAATTAAAAATAAATACAGTGAGCAGTAATAAAGTAACTAAACTAACATTGGTAGTATGATTTGTCGACATCATTTAGTAGCAACTTAAGATTATGTTTAAGTTCAGATAAACTAACACCTATTACTTCAATTTGCGGATAGGAGTTTGCGAAACGCATGATTCTTATAATAGGAGAGTGTTGTAAATATAACGTTTTATACAGTTTTATGCTAAACGATTGACTAAACCTAAGTGATCTTCCAGGAACATTAAATGTTATTAATTCCACCAAATATGACGAGTCAATACAACCATTTAGAAGTTTATAAAAAAAGACAAAATCGAGAAACTGACGACGAGCAAGCAAAGTATTAATGCTTAATACCTTAAGAACGGAGAGGTAAGAATGGTATGCAAAAGAATTCAGACGTAACCTAAACCTGAAGAAACGAAGAAATTTGTGCTCCACCCTTTCGAGTTTTGAAATAGGAGTGGAATAATAGGGAGACCAAACTTGGGAACAATATTCGAGAGAGGAACGAACAAGAGTCAGGTATACATTAATTTAGGGATAAAGGGACTGCGAAAGTTTTTTGATAAGCGCAGGCATACATCCAAGTTGCCTCAGTGCTTTATTACAAATAAAATCAATGTGTTTCTGATACGAAAGATCAGAAGAGAAAATATCTCCGAGATCAGTAACGCTAGATTTTCTTTCAAGCGCACAATTATTTATGGTATATGTAAATTGAATAGGATTTACAGTACGATGGAAAGTTATACTAAAGCTTTTAGTGAGGTTAAGTTCCATCTGATTTGTTTCACACCATAGGCTGAATGCGTTGATATCCAATTGCAAATTGATACAGTCGTTGGGCTGAATATTTTTATATCATCCGCGAACAATAATATTTTGGACATGATATCGTTTATAAATATTACGAATAATAGTGGAGCTAAATGTGCACCTTGAGGAACACCAGATGAGACATATATTGGTTTAGATATATGAAGTTTTTATATTTCACCATTTGAATTCTGTTTGTTAGATAAGAACGAAGTCATGACAATATTGGATCACATAAACCAACGAGAGAAAGTTTAGATAACAGGATATTATGGTTTACTCTATCAAATGCGTTAGAAAAGTCAAAATATACGGAATCTAATTGCGTATTTTCATCAAAACAACTAAGAATGTAATGCTGATAAGTTAAAATGTTCGTGTTTGTGGAACGACTAGGGAAAAAACCATGTTGTTCGTCAATTATAGTGCTTTTAAGTAATGGAAATAAAGTATTTATTAGGTACATTTCGTACATGTAAAAGTTAAATTTGAATTACATTTTTCAAATAAACGGCAACTTTGGATAAACCTTCTTTATTGCGCTAGTTACCTACTTTCTAAGGCGCGAAACGAAGTTTTTATTTGCGATTTGAATTGCTGTAGCTATGCATAAACACTTGCAATTTCAATACCTAATCATTCTCGGGAGCATAAAATTGTGCCAACACCTCAAGATTGAGATGGGCGAAAAATGCAGTATATTTTTATCATCAAACAGTTGTAAGAAAAGCGAAAGATACTAATGCATGTACCAGTTTCCTGTTTACAATATCCTATGTAAACATTAGCTATCGAGTTTGGTCTGTGTAATCGAAAAAAGTTTAAATTTGTACACTAAAATCTACTGAACTGGACTAAATTATTGTCGAAAAATGCACGCGCAAGAAAAAAGTTAAGGGTTTCTTTGGGAATTTAACCACAACGATAGGAAATTCACACGAGTATGAATTCACTACATATGCTGCAGAAGTGCGGATATACTTATTTACCATTTCATGCAGAAAAAATATTAAACCCTAACAATTTAACGCTCTAAGTAGTTGTGGTTGTGAAGGTTATACTGAATGGTAACTGACCGTTTGCTAAACCAATTGTCAAAAACATGCCTCTTTTGAATATTTAAAAGACATTTGAAAAATGAGGTCTTGTTGTTTCAGGAATAGCTAAAGGCATCTATTATTATAGATTATAATTATTTATATTCAAAACGAGAACCATTTTTTACAAAACAACTAATTTTTATAAATTGTGCACAACTCTTGTGCAGATAAAGCGCATTTTTTTTTAACCGAAATAACTTTGGAAATGCTTGCGCTATAAGGTAGTAGCATAGGTACTATATTTATCGATGTTTTCTTTCTTGTTAGATGATTAATGGGGACTTTCCTCCGACAAAGCGTTTTCGAGATATTCACTCGTAAACTTTTAACATCGCCAATAGATATATTTTAATCGTCTGAGTCGTGAGTACCATCCTCCGACAATCTGTTCTTGAGATATATGGAATGATTTATATCCGATCACGAAAAAGAGTCGAGGAGGAGACTATGCTTGGTAGAAATTAATTCCTTTCGTTGAGACCTTTTGTGAGAGTACCATGACGAATAAAACCAGTTCCACCCCCACCTCCGCCCCCGCCCACCAAATCCTCTCTTTTGATAAGGAGTCAGAAAGTAGGGCGGTAGTTCAGTTCCTTTTGTTGAGACCTTCAATTGGAAAACCAGGAAAGATAAAATTACTTTCAATTCCCTCCCTCCTCCCCCCAACCACCTACTGATTTCGGAAAGGAGTCGCGCAGGAAAGTTATAGTTTGTACAAACCAATTAATTTTGGTGGGAACTTTCATGAGAATACCATGAAGGGTAGAACGATGTGTTCACCCCCGCTACCCCCGTCATTTTCAAAAATTGTACTTAGCACCACTATCTAGACCAATTGGTTGTCGTATGTAAAAGTTATGCACGTTTTACTACACTTTCAAGAACAGCGCTTTAGGAAATAATTTATGGGGAGGGAGAGGGTCCTCGCTAATTCCCACATAAATTTAACATCACAAAAGGCTGGAGTGGCAGTGCGAATTCGAGAAAATGTGTCATATTTCAAATACTCTTTTTAATTTCATACCTTTTGCCTTTAAAATTTTAGTCTTTGGGGAGCCGCTGGCAAACAGTTTATTGGTGAAATGGGCGTCAAAATGCGTGGTATTACTAACACAACAAGATCCAGGAATTATGTAATTCAACCAATCAGCATAGCGATCCAAAGAGGAAATCTGTGTTAGGGATCTTACCATTTTCTACTGACTTTTTAGATATACTCATTTAATAATTTAAAAAAAACTTTGTAAGAAACTGTTGCAGCTTACATTGAAGGAATCATAACCAAATGCGAATGAGAAATTAAATATGTTGCCTAATTCGAATTGCAAATAACTGCATTCAAAGTTCAATCTAGAAATTTAGAGATTCAATTAGCAGGTATCCTTGGATAACTAAGAGGTGCGAAAAATTCTGTACCCTAAGCTTGAAATAAAAATTAATTATGTTGACTAATTGAAATGTTTTTAACGCAAATTGGACTTCAAATTCATCCAATGTTTCTTATAGAAATTTAAAGATGAAATTAGCAGGCATCCTTCGCGAATGAGTTAAATACAACAAATTCTGTACGGCATTTCTTAAGCGATAATGACAATTTTTTATGCGCAATCTAAAAAACACAACAAATTCTGTACGCCAGTTGAAATGCAAATTAATTTTGTTGCCTAGTTGTAGTGTTTTAAATAGACATTAGGCTTCAAATTGCATCCAAAACTCACTGAAAAAGTGTAAAGATGAAATTAGGAGGCATTCTTCGAGACATAGTAGCGCAAAAATGTCTGTACGCCATTAATTAAAACTAATTATGTTGCTTAATTGTGACCTTTTAAGCACAAGTAATTGAATTTTAAGTTCAATCTAGAAATTTAGAGATGTATTTAGGAGGCATCCTTCGCGAATTAAGTAGCACACAAAAATTCTGTACGCCATTCTTTAAATGAAAATTAATATGTTGCCTAATTGTGCTGATTTAAGCACAAATTAGAGTTCAAATGCATCCTAAAGTTACACTAAAAATTTAGCGATCATATATTAGCAGGCATCCTTTGAGGCTTAAGTGTGGTAAAAAATTATGTACGCCATATAGTCTTTAAAATTAATTGTGTTACAAGGTAAAAAAAACAAAGTTAGGGATAGAGATGTACTAGGTCCCATAATTAGGAATAAAAGACCAGCAGGTTGGGTGAAATCACTTTATTTTATTTCAAATAATGAAATTCAAATTAGAAGAGTTCATCAACAAAAAAAAACCAATAATTAGGATTTAAACTAGGGGATTTAAACTTATACCATTGACCAATACCTAGTCAATGATTATACTTACGATGCAAATGAGAGGGGAACCTTAGCAAAAAATTAAATCGAAGGTATCGCAGGTGTAAATTAGTAAATTGTAGCATCCAATTCTCTAATTTCTTTACGCACTTGAAATTG